GTCGTAGTTGTTATAATCATGGTCGTGGTTGTTATTGTAGGTTACGTATCTAAGCTACTGTGCCGAGTAGCAACCTTGTATATAAGCTACTGTGCCGAGTAGCATCTATGTATATAATTACGTGGCAACACTGCACGTGTTATGAGGCAACATTGCCCCGAGGCTGCCATATGGCAAGGCAGTCTCAGTCTGACTTCGTGGGCCGTGCATGGCACACGCTAGTCACCACTTGTATTTCTCCTATCCAAATAAATGGACTTCAGTGTTACCCGGTGTTTCCCTACCCATCACTGCATTCTTCAGGGAACACTTGGAACCTTCAGTTATAATCATGGTCGTGGTTATTATAATCATGGTCGTGGTTGTTATAATCATGGTCGTGGTTGTTATAATCACGGTTGTGGTTGTTATAATCATAGTCGAGGTTGTTATAATCATGGTCATGGTTGTTTTAATCATGGTCTTGGTTGTTATAATCATGGTTGGGTGATATAATTATAGTCATGGTTGTTATAATCATGGTCGCGGTTGTTATAATCAAGGACGTGGTTGATATAATCATGGTCGTGGTTGTTTTGATCATAGTCGGGGTTGTTATGATCATAGTCATCATTGTTATAATCATGGTCCTGGTTGTTATAATCATGGTAGTGGTTTTTATAATCATAGTCGTGGTTGTTATGATCATGGTCGTCGTTGTTATAATCATATTCGTGGTTGTTATAATCGAGGTCGTGGTTGTTAAATTCATGGTCATGGTTGTTATAATCATGGTCGTGGTTGTTATAATCAACGTCATGGTTGTTATAATCATGGTCGTAGTTGTTATAATCATGGTCGTGGTTTTGATCATAGTCGTGGTTGTTAAAAACATGGTCGTGGTTGTTATAATAATGGTCGTGGTTTCTATAATCATAGTCGTGGTTGTTATAATCATATTCGTGATTGTTATAATCGTGGTTGTGGTTGTTAGAATCATAATCGTGGTTGTTATAATCATGGTCGTGGTTGTTATAATCATATTCGTGGTTGTTATAATCGTGGTCGTGGTTGTTAAAATCATGGTCATGGTTGTTATAATCATGGTCGTGGATGTTATAATCATGGTTGTGGTTGTTATAATCATAGTCAAGGTTGTTATGATCATGGTTGGGTGATATAATCATAGTCAAGGTTGTTATAATCATGGTCGTGGTTGTTATAATCATAGTCGTGGTTGTTATAATCACGGTCGTGGTTGTTATAATTATGGTCGTGGTTATTATAATCATGGTCGTGGTTGGTATAATCATTGTCCTGGTTGTTATAATCATAGTCGTGGTTGTTATAATCGTGGTCGTGGTTGTTATAATCATGGTCCTGGTAGTTATAATTATAGTCGTGGTTATTATAATTATGGCCATGGTTGTTATATTCATGGTCGTGGTTGTTATGATCATAGACGTGGTTGTTATGATCATGGTCGTGGTTGCGTTATAATCACGGCCGTGATTGTTATAATCATGGTCGTGGTTGTTATAATCATGGTCGTGGTTGTTATAATCATGGTCGTGGTTGTTATAATCATGGTCGTGGTTGTTATAATCATGGTCGTGGTTGTTATAATCATGGTCGTGGTCGTGAGACTTACAGTATCTAATATACTATAAGGAGGAATAGAATAAAGGTTAGAATAATTAGTTACAGAAATATTCGCCATAAGGAGAGGTTAAAATCATAAAAAAAAATTGTTATGAATCACCGATGATCATTCCGAGATAAATTATATAATGAGGCGAAGTGACCTTGATTCTGGTTAGATTAGTCACCATCTACATAAGTCAGTTTTAGGCCCATCTCACATGACTGACCGACCATCGATGTTCTTTCCGCGCGAGGGTGTTGACTCTTATTATTTACACTGGTGGATGTAAGACCTCCTACCCTCACTGACGCAGCTATGGTCAATTTGGTCTGTACTCTTTGTGTCGTCAAATCTGTCTGTCTTATCCGTTGTTGGCGTGTGTCTGCCTGTTTGTCTAATGTGAACCAGTCAGTCAGCTGTCTGTCTGTCATGTTAGTTGCCATATTGTCTATTTGTGCATGTATGAATCTGTCTATTTTTGTCAACCTCCTGTCTGTTTCACTGTCTATATTCACCCTGTGTCTATTGTAGTCATCTTCTCCATGCATTCCTGTTATTATCTTCTTATCTCTTCTCTTTTTCCATGTACAGTCACCCACAGGAATAAGTATACACTGTAGCTGTAAGGTCGTCTGGTAACGTTGAAACTGCGCATCCAGACGCATGATGAAACTCAGCTCCCGCCCACCTGTTATCTCTAACTATTTTCTGTTTCCCCTTCTTTATTCTTCTATTTACTCATCTTCCTTCCTTTACTAATCCAAACAACATTAAACAAAAGTAGGCTAAGAAAAAGGTGGGGGGAGGAGGAGGGAGCCGTACGATAACTGCAATCGTGGGCTGACAGCGTCCAGCGAATGAGGGTGCGCCAAGTCGGTAAACTTGCATCGTTTTCCAGCGTAAATAAAATGGTTATGTAATGGCCTCCTAAAGAAACCATCGATATGGGACCAGGTTTGTTCCACTCAACGAATGTTTTGCGATTTTTCCACCAAGTTTGATGAAAAACGATTGTGCCGTTTCGGCTGCCCAGAACAGACACACACACTCACACACATGCACACACACGCCTAGTCCTATAGTATATTAGATTTTGAAGATATAGAGAGCTAAGCTTAGGTGATGGTCGTTCCCTATCTCTTATCTCTTCACTCTGAAGTCAGGTAACTCCCCCAGTCTACAATACAATACTGATTAAGTGAAGTTTAACATTGTTTCTGAAAGTGTGCCAGGTATATTCCTCAATCACCCACTTCTAATTTTATTTATCGTATTGCTTATTCTGTACAGGCGTTAAATAACAAAAACGACATCACACATTCTTGGTGTAAATCACCCATGTCATTTCAGACCACTCTAGACAACCTTCAGTGAACATGGCAAACCCCATACGAGGTCACCACTTCCCGCGAGACCTAACTCACCTTATCGGCAGTTGACAGTGTTTGCCAGGCATACTTGTAGCTGGCGACTTGCGTAGAATATTGCTGAAATGTTGAATGTTAGCAAAGTTCGGACATTCTGACAGTAGGGAAGACTCCCATTCACAGGTGCTGCCAGCTGGTGGCCGACTTAGCAAATAACAGTTTTAATAAGTGTAAATAAGCTCCTTGGATGTGGTTAATCAAAGTGCTTTTTAATCGATTTTTTTTTATTGAGCAAGTAATCTCGGCAACCGTTGGTGATAAGCACTTCCTATTCATTTACACAGGTATCATGATAAGACAGACATACGTATGTGAAGTTTACTCTAAGTTGTGGGATGGGTTGTATGAGGGTACCTCACTCACCCTCACCTACACAATCAACCTGAGCTAAATCTGTTTAAAATTTACATGGTAAAACTTAAATACTTTAATATAATTATAATTCTTGAAACAATTATTTTTTATTAGTTTAAGAAACATAAACGCTTCATAACTTGAAGCAACTTATTATCTAATTTGATTTATAAAACAAGCACAGCACAGTACTTATAAGTCTTGTGACAAACACTAAATAAAAAAAAGCCTATTTGTAGATACTATTACAGTACATGTTTATGACTGCTGTAACACTATGGGAAAAATCATAAATGTGTAAATTAAGAAAAAAAATCATCAGAAAATACAAAGATACAATTACAAGAAAATTCCCTGTTTTTTGGGGGTCATTATCTGGCATATTATTCAGGGTCATGGAGATCAAAGGGTCATGTAGGTCAAAGGGTCATGTAGGTCAAAGGGTCATGTAGGTCAAAGGGTCATGTAGGTCAAAGGGTCATGGAGATCAAAGGGTCATGTAGGTCAAAGGGTCATGTAGGTCAAAGGGTCATGTAGGTCAAAGGGTCATGTAGATCAAAGGGTCATGTAGATCAAAGGGTCATGTAGGTCAAAGGGTCATGTAGATCAAAGGGTCATGTAGGTCAAAGGGTCATGTAGGTCAAAGGGTCATGTAGGTCAAAGGGTCATGTAGGTCAAAGGGTCATGTAGGTCAAAGTCAAGGTCAAGGGTCATGTAGGTCAAAGGGTCATGTAGATCAAAGGGTCATGTAGGTCAAGGGTCATGTAGATCAAGGGTCAAGTCAGGGCAGGGTCATGTAGGTTCATGCAAGGGTCATGTAGATCAAAGGGTCATGTAGGGGTCAAAGGGTCATGTAAGGGTCAAGGGTCATGTCATCATGTAGGTCAGGTCAAGGGTCATGTAGGTCATCATGTAGGTCAAAGGGTCATGTAGGTCAAAGGGTCATGTAGGTCAGGGTCATGTAGATCAAATGTCAAAGGGTCATGTAGATCAAGGGTCATGTAGGTCAAAGGGTCATGTAGGTCAAAGGGTCATGTAGGTCAAAGGGTCATGTAGGTCAAAGGGTCATGTCAGGTCAAGGTCAAAGGGTCAAAGGGTCATGTAGGTCAAAGGTCATGTGGTCAAGGGTCATGTAGATCAAGGTCAAGGGTCAAAGGTCAGGGGGTCATGTAGGTCAAAGGGTCATGTAGGTCAAAGGGGTCAAAGGTCAACATCATGTAGGTCAAAGGGTCATGTCAGGTCAAGGTCAAAGGGTCATGTAGGTCAAGGGTCATGTAGGTCAAAAGGTCATGTAGGTCAAATGGGTCATGGTCAATCAAAGGTCATGTCATCATGTAGATCAAAGGTCATGTAGGTCAAAAGGGTCATGTAGGTCAAATGGGTCATGGGTCATGTAGGTCAATCATGTAGATCAAAGGGTCATGTAGGTCAAAGGGTCATGTAGGTCAAAGGGTCATGTAGGTCAAGGGTCATGTAGGTCAAAGGGTCATGTCAAAGGGTCATGTAGGTCAAAGGGTCATGTAGGTCAAGGGTCATGTAGGTCAAAGGGTCATGTAGGTCATGTAGGGGTCATGTAAGGGTCATGTAGGGGTCATGTAGGTCAAAGGGTCATGTAGGTCAAAGGGTCATGTAGGTCAAAGGGTCATGTAGGTCAAAGGGTCATGTAGGTCAAAGGGTCATGTAGGTCAAAGGGTCATGTAGGTCAAAGGGGTTTTATCAATTGTTTACTCTATTTTTTCTTATGGAGAAGTGTTTTATGTTGTTATTCTTATTTAGTTTATAAAGAAAATCATCGTTCACCAGCAGCTGACCCATTAGTAGAGGGAATGATAGCCACTACTGTGCACTTCCTCTCTATGCTAATAACTGTCAACTGTTTGTATGTAACTGGTAACTGGTAACTGTCACTATGTAAGTGTTTATATTTTCGACTCGCTTCCTATGCTAGAGTTTGAATAAGTAATCAACATATTTGACAAAGTTTAAACATCCAATAAAAATGTCCATAATAATAAATACAATATTTTTTTATCAAGGGTTTGAGAATCTTTCTAGAATCTAAAAACTTGAACGATTTTCTTAATCTAAGTACAATACTCCTTCTAATGTCTTGTCAATGGTGGCTTAAATATTAATTAGCATAGTATATATCTCGGTGTGAAGATAATTTGTTTCTCAACATTTAGAAACAAACAGCAACACCTTCAGTTTAAGCTCACTACAACCTTTTAAGTTAAGCTGGTTGAATATTGACCAAGACCACCATTGTCATTAATGTCTAAGATTAAGTATTTTATCGTAAGTTTATTCTCGGTGCTGAAGTGTTGTAGGGATGGTAGTCTGATGGACGGGTCAGTCCCACTAGATCCCTGCCTACCATAGCCCCTTTGGACTGGAGCCCCAATACCAATGATTAGATAGGTTAGGTTAGCATAGGGCCTATTGAGACTAGGAGCTGTTGGGGTTGGGGCCTATTTAACCAGTCACCTTCATTGGCAGTGTTTAGTACTCAGATATAAACAAGTCTGTCTTTAGTACTCTAACGTAACGTAAAGTAACGTAACCTAACCTAACCCAAACTTGAGTCTTTATTGCTCACAGTGTTGACCAAGCCTCGATGTCTTATTATTCATATGGAACAAATGGTCTCATTATCTCGGTAAACATATAACTTGTAATGTAATAAATTAACTATGCCACAACTCACATAACAGGGAGAAATAAAGCGAAGCAGAGTTATACAGGACTTGAAAAGCCACTAGGATATTAAATAAACAAGGATGATATTTACTAACTGGCTTCCTTCTCTGGATCGTAGTCAAAGAAGCCAAACTTGGGAAAACCCGTGAAGTACTCGTCGATGTTGTAGCCGTGCTTGGGGAACTTCACATTGGCATCAAAAAGAGCTTCCATGTCGGGCCCCCTCTTGTGCCTTACCTTCTCCTCTGGTTCGGGGAGACGAAGAATTAAGGAGTCCTCGTAAAGACTACTGCTAGGATGCCTGGAATAACCACGCTTATGGCTTTCATGAGTCCTGCTTTCTTCATCTGAGTTTGCTGGGGTGGGGAAGGTTTGCCTCTGCAGCCTTGGAGGTGACGCAGAGCTGGAAACTCTGTGGCTTCTGAAACTGCTAGAGCCAGGATCTCCTAGTGTAGGAGACTGGGTCTTCTCAGCTCCAGAAGTGGTATGGCTTCTGACGCTGGGAGATCTCTGTTCTCTGTGAGTGGAAGGTCTGTGATATTTATAGATAGGAGAGTTGGGGCTTTTTGAGTTGGAATCACCCTGGTTTCTATATCTTAGAGATGGATCTTGCCGAGAACTCAGTGGTCTTTGACTACTAGAGGAGGAATATCCTTTATTGTTATTGATAGAAAGATTCTGGCTTCTAGAAATAAGTGGATTATAGTTCTGAGAGTTCGAAAACGTGTTACTTATAGGACTAGGTAAGTTTCCTCTGGAACTCGATGAGGTGTGGCTCCTCGAGGTGTGAGGCGTGTAGACTGGAGGAAGTCTGTGGGACTGTGTGTTTTGCGACAGATACTTAGACGACCTGAGAGGTGGACTGATCGACTTCGGTTGGCGGTGACTTTTGCCCTGGGGCGATGATGGGAGCTTGTGTTGGGATTTTGGTTGGGGTGATGTCACATATTTCACATTTTTGTTGAACTTGGGCACGTAGCGAGGCTTGTAGGTGGTGACCGGAAGTCGGTAGCGGCCGTGTCTTTGATGTGTTGGTTGTCTTGGGATAGGATGGGGCTTAGACGATGCTTTGGGCACGAGGGTACTGAAGTGTTCTCTCGCCTCGTGGATCTCCTCCAGCTCCAGCGACTTAGTGCGGACAGGGATGTACAAGTTCTCGTACTCGTCCTCCTCGTCGTCATATGTATCTCTGTGAAGTATTGGTCCTGGCTTGACTTTTAGGGAAGACTGTCGCTGTAGTTTGTCATACAGAGGGTGACTACCAAACTTATTCTTGACTTCTTTAATATCTGGAACGGGAGTGATGGTTGTGGTGGTTTGCTTAACTTTACCGCTGTTGACAGACTTTCCTTCTCTTGTCCTCACATCTTTTATGGCATCGAGTAATACGTTAGACTTTTCAATCTCCCTCTGCAATCCAGTATAATACATAGCTTCGTCCCGGCTCCTTGCATCCACATTGGCAAGAAGACTTCTCAGAGTTGGCGAGTCGTTAGCTCTCCTCTTCTCAGGTGTTGATAAAATGGGGGTCTTCTTGGCGGAGCTGTGGGGTGGGGAGGTGGGGGCTTTGGTCTGGGATCTTGGAGACACAGGACGAGAGCGTGATAGAGTGTCATGGGTCGTTCTCACGTACCTGGGATCATCGCTTTCAGTCAATTGGGAAGCAGTAATGTAATACTTCGGCTGCGGTTGTCCGATATTGTAGGCGCCTGACGGGTAGTAATTCTGGTTTTGGGTTGCGTGACGGTGCAAGGTTGTGGTATACCGGTGTGCCGGGTCTCCACTACGAGCCTCTTCAACCCGCCTAGCTCCAGTGCGGCTGCCAATTCTAGTTCTCTTAACTGCACTGCCTTCAACAAGGTAGTACGAATTGGGATCTACAGATGAATAAATCAACGGACGTGTCCCTGGTAGAGAACGAGCTGTCTGATAGTTATTTTCCGCACGACTGCCCGAAGGATAAATACCTGTAGGATAACTGAAAATTCGACCATTTTCCATTGGATATGATTCTTCCGGGTAATACCCGCCAACGAATGTATTACTGTAAGGGATCTGGTGACGAGTGACTGAGGGGCTGCTGACAAGTGTTTGTTTCTGTCCTCCGTCACTCCTTAAATAATCTTCAGCTTTCACTGGGGCCGGCACAGCCCTTAGGTATAGAGTGGATTCCCCGCTGTTCTGCATCAGCGGCAGCTCTGCTGTATCTAAAAGCGGGTGCTCGGCTGTACCTAGCTGATCGGATGTATCTAAGACTGACTGATCAGATATGTCCAAGAGTGGCTGATCATATATCTCCAGGATTGGCTGATCAGATATGTCCTGGAGTGGCCGATCGGATATATCAAGGGGCAGTCGCTCGACTGTACCCAAGTGCAATTGGTCGGCTGTATCTAGGGGCCCCTGGTTGACTGTACCAAGGGGCAGCTGGTCGACTGTACCCAGGGGCAGCTGGTCGACTGTACCCAAGGGCAGCTGGTCGACTGTACCCAAAGGCGTCCGTTCGAGTGTAATTAAGGATGACTCCCAGGTGTTAGTGGGTGTAAAGAGTAAAGGATTCTTCAGCCTCAGAGGAACATCTAAGGCAGGAGGCTCTTGTGGATGAGTGTCTTCTTCGCTGTCTAAGGACAAGATGGCGTAGTCAGTGACGTCCGTACTGAGCATAGTTTCAGAACTCTGAGGACGCTCTAACGTTGTAGTAATTAGACCTTTAGAAACACGTTCTCTGTCGTCGTTGCTTTCTTCAGCATAATCATAGTCATAGTCGAGCATGACATCATAGCGCCTGAGATCGCTATGGTGAACCGACGGTAAAGGAGGAAGATCCGGGTCAGGGACGGCTCCGGTGATTCGAACCCGCGGGGCTGTCCTCAATATCTCCAGGTTGGCAAGGCCAGGCACCTCCTGCGACAGACACACCCCCGCCACCAGCATCCCCAACATCAGCGCCTCCTGCAAACACACACAAACAATGGTTAGAGAACTCCCTGCTCCAAATAAGTTAGTGTTCATAATAAGAAATATTACAGAAAATTGGAGAATAAAATGTTTTGGTGGTGGGTTTATTAGTATTAAACGGTAAAATTACTAAGAGTAGACGTGTGGGTACTCTCTCTCTCAGCTAAGCATATATTCCCCTGAAAATAAGAGTGATCTTCACAAGGTGACCTAATTGAGGTGTATAAACATCTCAAAGGGCACAACTCATTCCAGTGTCCATACCTGGAGTTGGCGGACACTCGCCCCACAAGGGGCCACAGCTTAAGGTTAAAGAAGCCACGAGTCCAGAAAACTTTGAGGGCAAACTTTTTCGGATTGAGAGCTGTGAACTCTTGGATCAACCTGCCAGAAAGTGTTGTGACGGCACCGAGAGTGATCTCTTTCAAGGTCAGACTTGACCAACACTGGAGCAGGTTCAGATACATTCAGGAGCCAGTGTATGCCCAGTACTTGCCAACAGTGCATAACAGAGACGTGACCGACCACCCAAGCTGCTAACGAGCCGACCAGTGGCGAAGAGGAGAAAAGTAAGGTAAAATTGTAGCAGTAATGCTGGTTAACAATCCTTGGCTTGGGTCACATTTGGTTAATTTATAAAGGTTAATTTCCTCACTCCATTAAATTTAATTAGTAAATTAACATGTACATACAGGGGCGAACCCAGAAATTGGGTGGGGGGAGGGGGATCCACGTACCAGAGCTGGGTGCGGAGTAGACGTGGCACACTGCAGTATACATCACTAGCAACACAGACACGTCTAACAAGGGGGTCCAGGGGCATGCACCCCGGGGAAATTTCTTTAATTTGTGTGGTACTCTAAGACATTTGTGCAGTGGAACATTTTTTATTATTTTTCACCCTAATGCTTATATATATACTAACTTATATTAAGAAAAATATTTGGTCATAATTTTTTAAAATCTTTTATTTGCACAAACATAAAATGCCTTAATTTATGGAGCTAAATATATGCATAAATATAGTCACGTCCTATTCACACTTCATCAAGCTTTCAAAACAAATATCTATCACAATTTCAATTTCAACAGTTTATTCTACTAGGTACCCCTGTACAATGTTACCAGAAACATCTGGCAGGAGTCTCGGGTACTCTACTGTATTTTAAAGATGCTTAGGAGCAGATATCATGTTTTGCGCATGTATAGGCGCACATGGTGAATACGTGGGATGTGGCAGAATAATGGACATTGGCTCAGTTCAATGCTCAGTAGAAGTATTACAGGTGTGGGCCGGAGCTGGTGTAAAGCCTTGTGTTATTGGTGCCAGACAGACTGCGCGCCCTGATTGAATACGAGTGATCTAATTAAATATATAAAAAAACCGTGTTTTGTTGCAGTGATCATTGTAATTAATGACTTAAAAATGAGTCGAACACATTATAAACTAGGCATCATAATATGGTTACCTATATGATAGTAACTAACCAAAGCTAGTGACCCTAAAATTGGTTGAAAATGAACTTGGGTGATGATACAACTATCTTTATTTTTTACTCAAACATTTATCAGTGCTTCTGTGGACCAGTCATTATTGTGAGACACTTGTATTGTAAGTTGCTCAGGTTTCCACTCTCCTCCCACCCTGTGATCCACAAAACCAAGGTTGAAGGGGACAAGCCAAGGTCACGTGCGATGTGACAACACTTTGGTGAACTCTTTTAAAACTGATGTAACATAATTAATTATATGGTCGGCATGATGACCATAGCTATAATCCTGGCGAGGCATCCTACAGTTTGATTTTTGAGAACAAGTCAAGACATTCCTCTTGTCATAAAGGGGACAAAATATTAGCCCCAGTGTTGTTCAATAGACACACTGTGATATTATAATTCATAAATGGTTAACCGTCACTTCACTTATCGTTTCATGATGCAAAATTAGTTTAACACCTGATTTCACCATTGTAGTCGGAAAAAAAATATAAACATCAAACAGCAAATTTCAAACTGCCCCGTCACCAATTTGAACTTGAGCGATAAGTCAGGACAGTGACCCGCCGTCAAGTAAGGGTGGAACGGGTTGTGCACCCTCCACCTCCAGTGTACAGCGAATTTCTGTGTTAAACTGTACGTACACTTGTGTTTTTGTAGTATAACTGACAGTAATGACTTTTTTCACCCGTGTTTCTTTAGCCAACCATGACACGGGGGTGAGAGATGGTGTACCTGAAGGACCCTGGATGATGAGTACTCTCGCTCTTGAAGGTAAAGTTACCAAGATACTCGCTGGGTTCAACACGAATAACAGGTTTTCCTCGTGATGGTCATCTTAACAACTGTGACAGGGTCTTTAACACTTGTAGCAGGGTCTTTTACAGTTGTGACAGGGTCTTGTTACATATGTCTATGTACTTACATAATATAGTAAGATGTGCACTGGATATTCTTTTGTATGTTACCCTTGCCAGAGCGGTTTGGTTTTCTATGAAAGGAGAGGAGATATAAAAGCTGTTTGTCCCTTGTAGTTAGTCTATTTTTTGTATTGGATGTGAATCATAATGGTTCAATGTAATTTCTAATATTTTGTAATCATATATTATGTATTACAGTCACTCATAAAAGTTCAAGGGGGGTTTCCGTGAGTGTGGGTGAATCCCATCCCCAGCCCTTTCTGGACAACAGGTCTCTGGGCACGGGACAACGCACACACGAACATACTCGGTGAACCTGTTGGAACTGTGTGTGTTAAATTAAGACCTGTTGTTTGACAAGAATATTTGTCCATGCAAATATTGTGTTATGTCATATAATGTTTACACATTTGCATTTGTGTGACAGCATATGAGGGATAAAATTGTCATGGACAATATGACCACAGTCCTCTGTTACCTGAACCATGAGACGCTTCGATATGTGAAGACAAAGCAATACGATAGAGGGGGAGTGGAGGAGGAGGGGGGTGGCATATATTCATTACAAATATATGGCAATAGACCTACTTCAATACTTTCCACTATTTACACATTCCGCCAAGTTAACGACACACCGTCACATTAGGTTCGTGGTGGCACCAGAAATTCGCACCTTTCCGCATGGTTTATGGCACTCAATTTACATCGTTCACTAGTTTTACGGCACCGTGCTCACCTGCTTGGTTTATTGTGGTGGTGGTCGATTCTAACACTCGGTTTATGGCATCTTCCCAGTACTGTGTTCCCCTGGCTGTATGGCACCGGTCACCTAATATCACTGGGTTTATGGTGCCATCCAACTATACCAGTGGGTTTGTGGCACTTTCCAGACTTATTACCGGGTTTATGGCACTTTCCAGATTTAATACCGGGTTTATGGCACTGTCCAGACTTCATACCGGGTTTATGGCACTGTCCAGACTTCATACCGGGTTTATGGCACTGTCCAGACTTCATACCGGGTTTATGGCACCAGGTATACCACCACTTAAGTTTGTAGAACCTCCTAACCACCTCCTAACTCGGCTTTTGAGTGTGTCGCCCTACAGAGCCTAACCTTAGTACTTCAGTCAGTCGGTCAGTCAGTCGGGTACCTATCTAATCTGCCAGGTATAAGTAATTAAGTGGGTTCAGTTGTGTTACCTGTATAGTATGTCACTTAAGTGTACTTTATACCTCGGTGTATAGTAACGTGTTTGGTCTGTTCTCTTTCCCTCCCTCCCTTTTTCTCTCCCTCCCTCCCTTCCTCTCTCCCTCTCTCCCTCTCTCCCTCCCTTCCTCCCTTCCTCCCTCCCTCCCCTACCCTTAAGCCCCCATTCCCCCCTCTTCCCCTTGTTTAAACTTCCCTTCACCATTAACCTTTATGTAACCCCCCTTCCTCTCCTCCCTTTTCCCAACCCTTTTAAACCCCCTTCTCTCTACCCTTTCTTTAAACACCCTCCCTACTCTCTCTGTAAGTCTGTATATTTTCAGCCACCTGCTGCAACTCTATTAATAAACCGTTTATTATTATTATTTTATTATTATTTACACACACACACACACACACACACACAACTGTTATGTTGGCCTATACCAACTCCCTCCCCTGAACCCTCCTCCCCACCGGAATATCAACAAGTTCTCGTCAGAAGTTACAATTTCATTTAGGAAAGGAATGGAACCAGTGTTGAACAGAGGTGAACAGTGGTGAACAGTGCTTAAGGCAGTGAAAAACAACTCAACATTAACAGATGAGTCGTACCCAAGCTAACCTTCACACAGTGAGGTCCCTGAGACTCAACAACACCAGCTATGTGTTAATCCGTCCACGATAGGAAGGCCTGGGACTCAAGTGAGTGAGGTCCCCATGATGCTACGACCCCACATAGTGAATGAGTTGCTACAGCATCATGTGAGGTTCCTCATAACACCATCTGTGAGGGAATTACTACACCATGTGAGGCCCTCATAACACCACCTGTGAGGGAATTACTACACCATGTGAGGCCCCTCATAACACCATTTGTGAGGGAATTACTACACCACGTGAGGTCCCTCATAACACCATCTGTGGGGAGTTACTACACCACGTGTCTGCTGCTCAGCACCTCAGTGCACAAGATCTACGTGACCTCCACTGTAAACATTAATCTGTATGTTCACTGTATGTTCCTTTACCTTTCTCTAATGAAGGCTTTTGTTAAACCACCAATGTATGTAATAAGTCATTTATATCCAATGTATATTTTCACCCTTCGGGCTGCAGAACTTTTTCAATAAACCGTTAATTATTATTATTATTATTATTACACCTCATCCTTGACCACCGTAGGGTCGAGACCTATTCAGGCGCTGCTCCTGTGAGCAGCGGACCCCTGTGAGCAGCGGACCCCCTTGGCCAATGTTCGGCCCATTCCCCAAGTCCCTCTACCCGACCCATCCTTACCACCAGGATATCAACATAAACAAAAGTGACAATTTCGTTTCGGAAAGAAGTGGGACCAGTGTTGAACATTGATGAACAGTGTTTAAGACA